GGGGTTCAGTTCCAAGTAAGATTTTGCAGCATTCTTCTTAATTCAAACCCACCTGCTGGGTTACAGGCACGCCATGTTTTTGTTTGTTTTTCTTAGACTTTTTTTTAGGTATCATTTTAGGTATCATCACAGCGAAATACCTATATTTTAAGTGTGCAGTTTGACGCGTCTTACACAGTTATAGTCAAGATAAGGACATTTTTATCACCCCAGAAAGTTTTCTTATGCCTCCTTCCAGGAAATCACCCCACCAGCGTTAACATGGTTCTGGTTGTTACTATTTAATCACGCAAATCAATGTGTAGTACATTTTAACACCCCCAAAAATTCTCTTATGCCTCGTCCAAGTCAGAACCTGTTCCCACAGGTAACTGTAATTCTGGCTTTTATCGCCGTAGATCAGTTTTGCCTGTTCTTGAACTTTTCATATACATGGAATCATTATGCATTCTTCTTTTTTGTCTTCTTTTGCACAACATAATTTTCTTTTGAGATTTGTCCATGGTGAGTATCAGTTGTTTGTTCCCTTTCCCTTGCTGTGTAGTATTCTGTTGGATGTATGTGTATCAGTTGATTGATCCATAAGCATCGCCCTAGGCCTGGCTTGTCCTATGATTTTCTCCTCTTCAGCAGCTTCTGAATTAACTTCTTTCTCTCCTTATTCCTCTTTCTCTCAGTCCTTGAGCGAAAGCTGGAATGTGAGCTCCTGGCAACCAGGACTGTGTCTGTTTTGTCTATTGCTGTATCCTCAGTGGCTAGGACTGAGTGTGACATGAAGCAGGTACTCGATGTTTATATAATGAGTGAATGAATAGGTGTGCAGAGTACATAGTTTTTAAAAATTGTTTACCAGTCTGGCTCTGGATGGTACCTTACCAAGCAACTCAGAACTACAGGATTCCTAGGACAGCCTCTTTGCTCACAGACTTAATGTGAACTTCTGGCCCCATAGATCATGCCCAAGTGCTCTCTGCAAGAGCTTCCCTAAGCTCTCGACTAGATTAGGCCCCTTCACAGGCCTCATAACTGTTCCTGTCACCCCATCATGACTCTCATTCCACATTATTGTCAATGCCTCTTTAATCGGCTGCCTTACCCTGTGAGTCCGTGGGTACAGACAACCCGTATTTCTTTTCACCACTAAATTGCACACACTCAGCACTCCGTCTGGCACATGAGAGGCACAGAGTACACACCAGTTGGGGTTTCTTTCACAGGGAGTTTCTCTCTGCCAGGTTGTTCATCTCAAGACCCCACAATTAGACAAAGCCCTTCATGCACAGAAAGATGGATTTGAAAACATGGCCTGTGCCCATTCATATGTGGAAGCCCTAATCCCGATGTGATGGTATTAGGAGTCGGGCCTTTGGGAGCTGATTCGGTTTAGATGTGGTCGTGTGTGCAGAGTCCCCATTATGGAATTAATCCCCTCGTAAGAAGAGGAAGAGACCAGCACCATGTGAGGACACAGCAAGAAGGCAGCTGTCTGCAAACCAAGAAGAGGGTCCTCACCAGACACTGAATCTGTTGGAACCTTGATCTTGGACTTCTCAGCCTCCAGAACTGTGAGAAATACATGTCTGTTGTGTAAGCCACCCAGTCTATGGTATTTTGTTATAGCAACCCAAGCTACTAAGACAGCCTCTGTGGAAGATTTCTACCTAAGTTATAACATTAAATGGGTAGAATCATGTTTTTTTCCTTCAAATGTTTTAGCCCAGATGTTGAATCTGTGCTGGGTGGGTCATAGTCATGGGAACCTAGACATTGACTTGGCGTTGTCCTGGGGAAATCTTAGCATGTTTATTTTCACCCGAACGCTTGAGAACCTGGAGCCTGGAAGTACTAGGTCTATGACCCCTACATCAAGTTCCATTTCCTTACATGATTGTGCTCCCAGCCTTTAGCCCCTGCAACAAAGGGTCAGGGTCCCAGAGAAGTGTCAGCTATTAGGGGCATGTGGGCTGTCATTAGAATCTCTGTGGATTTCCTTTATTTTCAGCATAGACCCTTCAAGGGTTCATGAAGGGGCTTCAGAAGGGTTTGTGAATTCCTGAAATGATGTACAGAACTCTAGGTAGTAGGCTTATGTGCATTTTCCTGGGGAAAGTCTGGAACTTCTCACCACATTTTCATAAGGTCCTTTGTATCAACCAAAGTTAAAGACTACTCTTACAGACTTCCTTCAATGATCTTTCTGGTTAATTGCTTAAACATCTCAAGTACAAGAGGAGAAAACGATGGGCGGGAATGCTACCTGGGCCCTGAGTTCCAAAGCTGCCTACACCTCCTTCTAGCTTCATGGGCTCTCCCTGGTCCTTGGTCTCCTGTCTGATGACTCTGGTGGTTGGATTAGATGTCTTCATAGAGTTCTTGCACTGTCCGTCTGAACAGTTTATCTCAGAGAGGACGACTGATACAGATAAACACGGTCTTTCTGTGCATTATTTAAAAAGGTGGTACCTACCAAAAAAATCATTCTGTGTCTCATTCCTGCTTTTTTCTCTTTGAACACTAGTACATGTGGCTTCTAAAGAATGCCATTTATAAATCTGTAAGTTACTAAAAACAGGAAAAACAAGAATAATCTGATGGCCTCTTGGTGCCAAGTGCAGGAAACACTAGGATGTACTTCATGACAATTCTTGAGGGGTCAGAGGGAAGGATAGTCTGCACATGGACATGTAAACTAGTTTGTCATTTGAGATGGAGACATTTATATCCTCGAGGGAATGTTGGTTACTATACTTGCATCTACCTTCAGAAATACATGAAAAGGGACTAAACATTTGGAAAGATTGATGCTTTATTTTCTTTCTGGTGGTCAGCAGTTTACTGCTAATGCCTGAAATAGGAGAGCAGAAACCATTGTGGAAAGTCAGTGGAAGAGAGTTTAATGTAGCCACTTGCTCAAGCCTTAAAGTATTAAAGCCTGCTGATCTTAATTCTGTCCAGAGCCGGTCTGTGAATAATTATACTAAGGAATTGGACAGAGTCATCACAGACTATAAAATATCACCCGTGGGGCCTCATTGGAGACTGATGGGAACTCTGGAGAGTTGATAATGGTGATCAAAGGGTCTATATATTTAAAATGCACAGAGGATGAGCCCAGAAATTATCTGCCTGCCCACTTCTCTACCTGGAACAAATTATCCAAAAATCAATCTGCAAACACCTTTGAGATAACAAGGCCTTGAGTAATAACCTCCATGGCTTTGTAAAGAAAAGCATCTAGCTTGACTAATCTGCTTAATTTCCTTCTCTGACCAAATGGCAGCTATAATAGAGGCAATCTGAACTTGTCCCTGAAGATTTGCTTCACGTCACACTGAGAAAATATTGTCCACCTCTGCTTCATAATGATTATTCTCTTTCAGGAGAATCTTTGTTGCTAGATAATTAATTAGAAAGAAAACACTGAATGAGCCCTATCTATCCCAGAGCTCTCACCTGAGTTCCAAACTGAAATTCATACCTGCCTTAGCCACCTGAATAGCTCAGAGGCTCTGCAAAAGTTCTTGAGCACAGCTAAGTTGTACTCCACCCCCAGATGCCTTCCCCACCCTTCACTTCCTAGTTCTGCTCCAAGAATCAGTAACTTGTTCATACCCTTTGATAGATAACCCCTTCCTGGAAGTTGGTCCTAAGAAAATATGAGACGAGATGGACTGGAATCATTTGCACAGAGATGTTCATTGCTGCAAACAACTCATGTGCCCAACGATCGGAGAATAATTAGTGTGATTATCTGATGGATTGTTCTATCACTATTAAAAACAGCCATGGTAAAATCCACATAGTATATAAACAAAGTCCTTTGGATCTAATAAGTGAGGGAAGGAAAGAAAATCTACATTGGGTCTGTGTGTTACTGTAGCCACCAAAAAAAGGGTTTAAGTATACGCATAGAAATTGGAATGGAACATGGAGAAATAAAAATGGTGATTATATTGGGTAGTAGGGAACGGGGCCTATCTTTTCTTTCTTCTCACTTCTTTATTGTTGTCCCACTGCCATTTTTTGCTACAAATGAAAATAAATATATCCACATTGATCTGTAGAAAATGGGTATCGAGAGGCAAACAGCTTTCCAAAGGGAGAGCTGGTCTTGAAAGGCATCAGATGTGGGTTCCATCCTGCCTTACCTGCTCCACTATCTTGGTTAGGTGATCTGATCCCTTGGGTTCTCAGTTTTTTAATTCATTAAAACGGAGGTGATAATGTCCCAAGAATTACACAAAGCGATGCAGCTGAGATTTTCTGGTAAATAAGGATAAAGTAAATGATAATTTGCCAGTGAGCTAAAAATTGCCGCAAAGAGGCCACCATTCATGCTTTGCTGAAATTCTGGTCTGTTTAGCTGAAGTTACAGAACTTAATGGAAGAGAGATGGCAACACATAGGAGATCCAAGATTACTCAGCATGACTTTTCCCTTGACCCTTGATTCCCACTGGGGTCACTGTGGCCAGAGCCCCTCTCTCTGCTGGAGGAGATTGCTAGGGTTGAGGAAGAAGGTGAATTCCTGCTATGCCATCATCCCTTTGCTACTTAGGCTCCTATCACTATTTGGAAGAACATGCACTAACAATCTACGTGTCCCTATAAAAGAAATGTTTGTAAACTCCTGACTCTCCTGGGTTTTGAACCAAACTCCGCTTTAGTAAAGGCAGGTTCTCATTTGAGGATAGAAAAGAGACTATTGCCCCAGGCATCTTTGCCGTGTTCAAGAAAAATCTTTTCCTCACAATGGCCGTCATTCTTTCCTTTCTTTAAATGAAGGAGATACAGTTAGGTGTTGAATATAGTTACTTAAGAAATACTGATTCAGGTATTTACATACAATGATTTAATTAAAGTAGGACGTGAATGGGTTGAGAAAGGGATTTGGGCTGTTTTCTATGGCTGTCCGGAATTCTGTCCTTTGTCCTCACATGTTTGGAGTCTGCTCTATAAACCGTTTGGGTCTCACATCCTTTGCTGATTCCTGTCTTTCAGAGCCTCCCACACCCATCGCCCCGCCAGAGCTGCTGGCCGTGGGGGCCACATACCTGTGGATCAAGCCGAACGCCAACTCCATCATTGGAGACGGCCCCATCATCCTGAAGGAGGTGGAGTACCGTACCACCACCGGCACCTGGGCAGAGACGCACATCGTCGATTCTCCCAACTATAAGCTGTGGCACCTGGACCCCGATGTGGAGTATGAGATCCGGGTGCTGCTCACGCGACCAGGGGAAGGGGGCACGGGACCGCCAGGGCCTCCCCTCACCACCAGAACCAAGTGTGCAGGTAGGACTCTTCCTGACTCCATTTTGAGAGGTTGGGCAGTCGCTGGGCGTGATTGCTCCTGTGACAGTCATTCCTCCACTTTGGTATGAGTGTGCTTCCTGTTGTGATAAAAAATGGTCTTGCCTTAGAGGCTCCAGAGGCATCTCTGGGGACCTCCTGGCTTTGACTGGGAGTCTAAGAAGCACCTGACTCTAGCTGTGTCATGGAGAGGTTCCTGGTCCTGACAGTGTTTCCCGGGACACTGGTTCCCTCTCTCTCTCCAAGGGCTTCTGGTGCCACTGGTGTGTCTGAGCCTTCCTAGTGCTGACAGTGTCTCTGAGGGCTCCTGGCCTTGTTTCTTTGAGGGCTCCTGGGCCTGCTTCTCTGAGAGCTCCTGACTGTGTCTCTGAAGGTTCCAGGCTCTGGTTGTATCTCTGGGGGCTCGTGGCTCTGACCATGTGACCTGAGGCTTCATTTGGTCTATGTCTCTGAGTGGTTCTGATTCTTGTTGTGTATGTCAGGTGTTCCTGATTTTATTTTTGTCCCTGAGGATCTCTGGGCTGGGCCTGTGACCCTAATGAGCTCTTGGTTTTGACAGTGTCCCCGAGGGCTCCTGGTTCTGGTTCTGTCTCTGAGGGGCTCCTGGTGCCAGCTGCATCTTGAGTGCCTCCTGGCTCTGAAAGCGTCTCTCAGTGGATTCTGGAAATGCCTTAGTTCCTGAGAGCCTCCCACCTCTGTGTCCCTTGGGGGTTTCTGGCACCTACTTAGGAGTCTGGGCTGAGACTCTCTGTCCAAGGGTCCTTTGGATTCTACATCCCTACAGGCTCCTGGTCAGTGTTCCCTCCAGCCAGGCTCCCGGTTTCTCAGAGGTTTCTGGATGCTGCTAAAGAGTTTGCTGACTAGGGCTGTGTATGGGAGTGTTCTTTGTTATCTATCCCCAAGAGCTCTAGGCTTCTGTGGTGTTTCTAACAAGGGGTGTTGTCTGGGATTGTACCCCTGACTGTACCCCTGAGATGTTCTGGCTTCAAATGCAGCTCAAGAAATTAAAAGGACTCAGTGTTTTATGGGTTTGTTTGTTTTTTGCTGCAAATCACATTATTTATTTTATCTCATTTTTCCTAAGTAACCATTTGATGTAAGTACTTTTGTCTCATATATAAATGAAAGAATAGAGACTCAATATTTTTAAAAGTTTTATCCAAAGTCATAGAATTGGCCAACAGCACACTCAGGATTTACACTCAGGTTCCCTGACTCGAATGCCCTTGATCATGTGGTGTACAGAGCTGGGGGTGCTCCAGTGGGGGACCAGGGAAGTGGCACCATGAGCCACTGACTTCTGAGGGAAAAGGAATCCTTGATGGCTTCTGGGTGGGGAGAGAAGGACCCATCAGCACAGTGACTTCCATGGAACAAAAAAGTAAAACACAGTCGGTTCTGCTATCATGCAACATACGTGTGCCTAAAAATCATTGCACTATTCAAAGTTATGCAGTAAAAACCACTGGGCTTATGGGAGAAAATGGGGCTGGGGCACAGCACTCATCAGTGACACACCAAAAAGAGAGGAACCTAGTAAAAATAGCAGCCCAATTGTACACGTGTTAATGGCTAAGATATGCGTAAATACTGTAATACAAATGGGGTGTTACCGTGAAACGTCCTGGAGTTTGCCTGTGGAAGTGGGTATCAGAAAGGCTGCAGCCCATGAGCTACTGTGCAGTGGTGGAGGAGGGCTGTCTGAAAGTGGCAATAAGTTGTGACACCATGTGTGGATCAATGTGGCTTGTAACACACACAGTGAACGAAGGAAGCAGGTAGATGTTTGAGGTGGGCGCGTCTTGTGTGTTCCTATGTGACTCAGTCCAGCTGGGTGCGGTTTTCTGCTTCACTAGTGTTTCTGTGTACAAAATCTCACATAGCAAATGTGAAATTCACGCTCTCCTCACATTGTTCCCTAATATATCAATCATGTTGGAAGACATTCGCATTTTCAAAGTAAGCGTTCTAGCAGAATTGAGTGTAACCATTCTGAAATATCTCAGTAGTGTGTCTTGGTAGCATGTAACCCAGAGTTAGTGAGTATTTCCTTTGCTTGGGAATATTCCTTTGAATGTTATTGAACCACCACGATGAACGGAGATGCCATTTTCTTGATTAGTTTCAAAAACAGGCCTTTGGTAAAATTCCTCATTGAAGCTTGATTACAAAACTTACTACTTTAAAAAGACATAAGGATATGTTATTAGACCAGGTAATACCTTATCTCAGCTTTGCAATTCAGTATTCACCCGTAAAAATAATTGATTTGATCCTGCCGATGAGACTTTTCTCTTTCTATGGGGTTTCCAGGGTTTTTGATCTTTATAAATGATATTCAGAGCACTTTAGCAGCCCCCGTGGACTTATTTTCTGATGATCGTATAATGCATTTTGAAATTCAGTCGCAAGAGGATCATCTCAATAAAAATTTACAATCTATTGCACACTGTTGCCGCGGCTGTGTAACGGATTTTACATGTTGAAAACACGATTGTCTGACTCTCAGTATAAAAATTATGAGTTGAACATGCTGTTTGTGGTTTTATATTTCAAAAAATATCGATGTTTAAGTAAGCTATGCCTAAAATCTTGAATAACCCACATTTTACAAAATGTGTCATCAAAGAGGTAATCATCTTTTCCTCACTGCTACTGATAGTAGAATGTTCTTTGCCTCATAATTAATGTTTAAGAGAATTCCAGGGCTGATATCCACTTGTGGAGGCTGTTTATTGGGGTTGGTAGTCTGAGTTTTTTCCCCCTTTCTCTATTCTATTATTAATCATACTGGAAATGTACTCATTATTTTACAAAACAGAAAATGAGAGAGTGTGGAGTGTGGAAGGTATAATTTCTGCCCAGAGGAATTTACAGACTGGGTTAAGATTCCGACAAAACAGCAAAGAGAGGAAAGCATCAAGTCAGGTATCGAAATAGCACACTTTGTGGAGGAAAACAAGTTTGGCGTGGGAAGAGCAATGCTGTTAAAATGATCTCGAGCAGTGGATTTCAAAGTTTTATCCTGAACGAAAAGCATCGGCATCCCCAGGGGACTCGTTAGAAATGCAAATTCTCAGGCCCTGTTCCCTGACCTAGTGAATCAGAAATTCTGGGGATGGAGGCCAGAGATCTGTGCTGTAAGGAGCTCTCTGAGGGATGCTGGTGCACACCCACATTTAAGAACCACTGGTACAGTGTCATACCCAGATGCCACTTTGGTAGTAGGCCCATTACATTGCTTGATCCTTGAGGCAGTTCTGAGAGGTAGATGGGAAAAAACTGAGGCACAGAACCATCAGATGAAGCTCACAAGTCAATTACCTCCTTACAACTAAATCTCTTGGCCTAAGGAACTCTCCATCGCATGGTTTGATGGAGTTTCCTCCGCAAATGTTCTCTTGAGGGTGGGACTGAGTGATAAAGAGACTGGTAACTATGGAGACAAGCTGAGCATGAATAGCCTCCGTGCACTGCAGCTGTAGTCCTGCTCATCAAACGTCTGCTGAGTCCCTTCCACGTGCCCAGCTCTGTGCTAGGTACTGGTGGCAGAGGCATGCAACTGGAAGCTACAAGCTCAGGTATCAAGAAGATGCCAGGAGGCCCAATTCAGCGAGGGCAGGTGGCGATGATTCTGGTTCTGCCAGGTCACTAGGTAGATTCTTGGGGCACTGGGAGCAGGTTCTAACCCTTAAGGGGAGAGATTGTCAAGAGTTTAGTTACAGGGCAGTGTCCCAGGCCAGTAGTCTAGAGTTCATAGCAAGACCCTTAGCCAATTAAGCCAGAGCCTGGACAGATTTACCAGATAGGAACCTAGTAATGTGAGGATAAGAGAAGAGAGCCATAGATGACACTCCCAGGCTTCTGGTTTGGGTGCCTGGGAGATGAGTGATGGAGCTGTCTTCTGAGATGGAAAACACAGAAGACGCTTTAGGGGCGAGAAAGCCAGCCCAGGTTTGAATATGTTGTGTTTGAGGTGCAGCTGTACAGCAGGTGATGGTATAGGTCAACCTGGAGCTCAGGAGAGACCAGAACGTTCTCTCTTCTTCTTCCAGGAGAAGTACCAGGTTGCACCTGGATTTGAAAATCAAAAGGACATCTTTGTACCAATGAAAGCAGTTTAATTCTCTTTCTTCATGCTATTCTCTTGAGATGCCCCATTCATATATTTTTTTTTTCTATTCATCATTTTGTTCCTTTTGGTCAGTTGAATCGTTCGCCATCGTTCCTGAGATATAAGCCTGGGGAGCAAACATGATCATGTACCTCAAAGTGCTTTGAAAAGCTCAAAACGCTCTTTAGATACCTGTAATGAAACAGATCCTTATTTGTTGCTATTATTGTTATGGATGTTATGATTATGAGTAATGATATCAAAACAGGAAGCCTTACTTGTCCACTTCTCTGGACTGACTGGCATTTGGAAGGGTGGGCCGTATTCTTTTGTTGTGTTTCATCATCCCACGGGAAATCCCATTTCAGAACACGACGATCATACTGTAGTCTGGACTCTCAGAGATTTTCTGGTCTAGAGCAACAGGTGGTTTTCTCTGGCACAAACTCAATAGCGGACGTCCAGTCATAGGAGCTGGGTCCTAGAGGGGCACTCTGGTGCCCACCCAGGCTCACCTTGAATGCCACCTCTGATGGGGGTGCTCATGTTCTCCCATGGAAGACCAGGTCACTGCTGGGGATCCTGGGTGGTTATTATTATTCACTACCCAGTGTTAGCCTAGTTATCATAAAACTCTGGATGGGGTCCTAGTTAGGAGCAGAGAGTATCCGTTAGGTTGAAAGAGTAGGGGCAGTAGGCGGGCTCTTTGCATCAACTGTCTGGAGTCCACAAGGAGAACCAAGGCCAATGGCGTTGACGATAGGGCCCAAGGTCAGTAAGCGGGGAAGGCAGGTGAGAAGAAAAGAGGTGCAGACACCATACTGGTCCAACCTGGCCCTGCATCTTTTCTGCAGGTACCACTTTTAAT